TGAGCTCCCATCTGTCAGCTCCAGCTTCCCATGCAGGTACATGAGAGAAGCCTCCCACAGGATGGAAAAACATCTGGACGTTCCCTAGGCAATGTCCTTGCAGACAGCCAATTGTCTCACACCAGAAGCGACTTGCCGTTTCTCAAGTTGCTCCTGACACGAACAAAAAAAAATTGGGCCGAGTAAGTCAGCAACTGCTGCAATAAGTTAACCTACAGTATTATGAAAGCATAACTGGATTGTTACTTAATACTGTTATGGAGAATTTCCCATTGTGTATTTAGCTGAGTGTGTGTGTGATTACTCAATGGATTGAATGCCTTTTGGCATACTGACAAGCAAAAAGAGATATATGGACATAAGTTGAGCTTGCTGTTGTTTTTTTATCTGCCTTCAAGTTAATTCCAATTTATGGTGACCCTATCATGGGGATTTCTTGGCAAAAATTGGTTCAGAAGGTAATTACAGTCAGCCCCCCACATTCACTGGGATTAGGTATACAGTATCCTCATGAAGGCAGGGGGAAAGCAGGAATAAAACCCCATTATTTATTTTACCCGAAAGAACATCTCTAAGAATTCCTGGTACTCTATTGTCGAAGGCTTTCATGGCTGGAATCACTGGGTTGTTGTAGGTTTTTTTGGACTATATGGCCATGTTCTAGAGGCATTCTCTCCTGACGTTTCGCCTGCATCTATGGCAAGCATCCTCAGAGGTAGTGAGGTGACCTCTAGAACATGGCCATATAGCCCAAAAAAACCTACAACAACACACATTCCTGGTACTGTTTCATTATCTGCCCAAACCATTACCCTAAGCGTCCCCTCCTTTCTATCCTTGCTTTGCTCTCCCCACTCTCACTCTGCCCTCTCTCTTCCCTTATTCACAGACACCTTTGTGGCATCTCTGTAACACTCGGAGCTTCTGGACCCAGCTATCATACTATCACCGTCTTCCAGATGTGGTGTCTTGGCGGTGGGTCCGTAGGTGGTTGTGGAGGCCTGTTCTTGATCCGTATCTTCTCCCACAGTGAGGACATCAGTTTCCAGGTGGAAGGCAGTCCCAGTCAGGAATGGCTTGATGCGCCTTCCTCTAGGCATGATTCTCCCTTTCACCCTCCATTCATGCCTCTTCGAATTCTGCAGCACTGCTGGTTGCAACTGACCTCCAGTTAGAGCTCTCAAGGACCAGGGCTTCCTAGTTCTCGGTGTCTATGCCACAGTTTTTAAGGTTGGCTTAGTATGATAGCTAGGTCCGGAAGCTCCAAGTGTTACGGAGATGCCCCATCACTCCTTCGGGAGCGCAGTTTGCACAAGAGAGACTTAGTTAATGTAAGCCAGGCCGGAGGCAGATAATACAGAAGGAATGTAAGAGTTCTTTAATGGTGAAACTCCAACCTTTACCCTAACACAGGGGTCCACAAACTTTTTAAACAGAGGGCCAAGGTCACAGTCCCTCAAACTGTTGGAGGGCTGGATTAGAATTTTAAAAAATGATTGAATTCCTATGCACATTGCACATATTTATTTATTTATTTGACTTGTATACCGCCACTCCCAATTTGGCTCGGAGTGGTTTACAGCAGTAGATTAAAACAATACAACCAACTCTGAAACACAATAAAAACGAGAACTGACATAGTCCCGAGTTATTCACCCATCAAAAGCTTGTCAGAAAAGAAAGGTTTTACAGGCTTTCCGAAAAGCAAGTAGCTCTCGGATGGTTCGGGTTTCAACTGGCGAGGCATTCCATAAATAAGGGGCCACAATCGAGAAGGCTCTCTGCCTAGTAGAGGACAGATGATAAGTCCAGATGTTGGGGACTTCAAGCAAATTTTGGTCTTCGGACTGAAGTAATCTCTGGGGTTGGTAGGGGGATAAGCGGGCCCTCAGGTACGCCGGCCCCAGACCATATAAGGCCTTAAAGGTCTTGAACATAATTTGAATGCACCTTGAAAGTGATCCGGTACTCAATCGGTAGCCAGTGCAGCTGTTGTAGAATTGCGGTGATATGACACCTCGCCAGCACCCCGTCGAGAAGACGAGCCGCCGCATTTTGCACCAGCTTCAGTTTCCGGATCACTGACAAAGGAAGGCCAATGTAGAGGGCGTTACAGTAGTCAAGCCTCGAGATGACCATTGCCTGGATCACCGTAGCCAGGTCATTCCTAGATAGGAAGGGAGCCAGTCGCCTAGCCTGACTTAGGTTGAAAAACGCAGATCTGCTCACAGCAGAGACCTGGGCCTCCATTGTGAGCAGAGGGTCCAATAAGACACCAAGGCTTTTTACAGAAGGTGACGGACGTAGTGTCTTGCCATCCAGGGTAGGCAGCTGGATCTCCCTCCCACCTGGATGGCCCAGCCAAAGGATCTCCGTCTTTGCTGGATTCACCCTCAACCTGCTGGCACGCAACCATCCAGTAACGGCCTCAAGGCACTGATGGAAATTTTCAGGTACAGAGTCTGGCCGGCCCTTCATCCTCAGAATGAGCTGAGTGTCATCAGTGTACTGGTGGCACTCAAGCCCAAAGCTCCACACCAGTCAGGCAAGCGGTTGCATATAGATGTTAAATAATAGAGGAGAGAGAATAGCTCCATTACAATATCTTATTTGTAATGCAAAAACACTTAAAACAATACAATAATTAAAATGAATAACAATTTTAACAAATATAAACTTATTAGTATTTCAATGGGAAGTCTGGTTCTGCTTTTGGCTGATGAGATAGGATTGTTGTTGTTGTGTGCTTTCAAATCGTTTCAGACTTAGGTTGACTCTGAGTGAGGGCTGGGTAAATGAGCTTGGAGGACCCTATCCAGCCCACGGGCCTTAATTTGAGGACCCCTGCCCTAATCCTTACTCTAACCCTGAACTGTACCATAAGCCTAAAACTAACCCATTACCCAAACCCTAAACTTTACCCTAACCCTTACCCTAAGCGTCCCCTCCTTTCTATCCTTCCTTCGCTCTCCCAGCTCTCACTCCGCCCCCTCTCTTCCCTTATTCACAGACGCCTTTGTGGCATCTCCGTAATGGTTGGACCTTCTGGACCCAGCTATCATACTATCACCAACCCAAACTTCTCTACCTCTTTGCTTGGACCTGAATAACTCTGTCCGAGGTTGGCATGGTGTTGTTGTTCATTCGTTCAGTCGTCTCCGACTCTTTGTGACCTCACGGACCAGCCCACACCAGAGCTCCCTGTCAGCCGTCACCACCCCAGCTCCTTCAAGGTCAGTCCAGTCACTTCAAGGATGCCATCCATCCATCTTGCCCTTGGTCGGCCCCTCTTCCTTTTGCCTTCCACTTTCCCCAGCATCATTGTCTTCTCTAGGCTTTGCTGTCTCCTCATGATGTGTCCAAAGTACTTCAACTTTGTCTCTAGTATCCTTCCCTCCAGTGAGCAGTCGGGCTTTATTTCCTGGAGGATGGACTGGTTGGATCTTCTCGCAGTCCAAGGCACTCTCAGAACTTTCCTCCAGCACCACAGTTCAAAAGCATCTATCTTCCTTCGCTCAGCCTTCCCTAAGGTCCAGCTCTCACATCCGTAGGTTACTACAGGGAATACCATGGCTTTGACTAGGCGGATCTTTGTTGCCAGTCTGATGTCTCTACTCTTCACTATTTTATCGAGACTGGACATTGCTCTCCTCCCAAGAAGTAAGTGTCTTCTGATTTCCTGGCCACAGTCTGCATCTGCAGTAATCTTTGCACCTAGAAATACAAAGTCTGTCACGGCCTCCACGTTTTCTCCCTCTATTTCCCAGTTGTCAATCATTCTTGTTGCCATAATCTTGGGGTTTTTGATGTTTAGCTGCAGCCCAGCTTTTGCACTTTCTTCTTTCACCTTGATTAGAAGGCTCCTCACCTCCTCCTCGCTTTCGGCCATCAAAGTGGTGTCATCTGCATATCTAAGGTTGTTAATGTTTTTTTCATCCCAGCTTTGCATTCAAGCCCCGCACATCGCATGATGTGTTCTGCATACAAGTTAAAAAGGTTGGGTGAGAGGATGCAGCCTTGCCGTACGCCTTTCCCAATCTTGAACCAGTCTGTTGTTCCATGGTCAGTTCTGACTGTTGCTACTTGGTCCTTGTACAGATTCCTCAGGAGAGAGACAAGGTGGCTTGGTATCCCCATACCACCAAGAACTTGCCACAATTTATTATGACCCACACAGTCAAAGGCTTTAGAAATGTCAATAAAACAGAAATAGATGTTATTCTGAAACTCCCTGCCTTTCCCCATTATCCAGTGGATTGGCAATTTGGTCTCTCATTCCTCTGCCTTTTCTAAACCCAGCTTGAACATCTGGCAACTCTCGCTCCATGTATTGCTGGAGTCTTCCTTGCAGGATCTTGAGCATTACCTTACTGGCATGAGAAATAAGGGCCACTGTACGGAAGTTTGAGCAGTTTTCGCATTTCCCTTTTTTGGTATGGAGATATAAGTTGATTTTTTTCCAGTCTGATGGCCATTCTTGTGTTTTCCATATTTGCTGGCATATGGCATGCATCACCTTGACAGCATCCTGCCTCCTGCTGCCTTGTTGTTAGCAATGCTTCTTAAGGCCCATTCAACCTCACTCCTCAGGATGTCTGGTTCTAATTCATTCACCACACCGTCAAAACTATCCTCGATATTATTATCCTTCCTATACAGATCTTCTGTATAGTCTTGCCACCTTCTCTTGATCTCTTCAGCTTCTGTTAGGTCCCTGCCATCTTTGTTTCTTATCATACCAATTTTTGCCTGAAATTTACCTCCAATGTTTCTAATTTTCTGGAAGAGGTCTCTTGTCCTTCCTATTCTGTTGTCTTCTTCCACTTCCATGCATTGCTCATTTAAAAATAGTTCCTTATCTCTTCTGGCTAACCTCTTCGGCATGGTACTGATTTAAATATCCCGCCGGGGAGGCGGGGCGAAAGGGCGGCTCGGCTCTGATTGGCTCCTCCTGGTAGGGGGGCGGAGCCTGTGCGGGGAGGCGGGCGCGCGCTTGTTCCTCCTCTCCTGCTGACCGGCGGAGACGCAGCCTGGCTCTAAGGGGCGCCCTGCAGGGAAAGGAAAGCAAGGGAAGGGAAGGGAAGCCCAGCAGGAGGAGGAGGAGAGCGAAGAGGCGGCTTCGGTGGCGGCCATGGCAGGGGCCGGGGGTTAGCGGCGCCTCCGTCCGCCCTCCCTCTCTCTCTCCGAAGGGAAGAAGCAGCATCAGCGCCCGGAGCGCAGGATGAGCTCCCCCGCGGCGGCGCCTCCGCCTGCTCCTCCTCCTCCTCCGGGGCCCGGCTCCGGCTCGGCCTCTTGCCGCTTCGCCCACTACTTCGTCCTCTGCGGGATCGACGCCGACAGCGGGCTGGAGCCGGACGAGTTGGCCGGTAAGGAAGGGAGGAAGGAAGGGAAGGAGGGAGGGAGACAAAGAAGGGGCCGCTTTGTGTTCCTCCTGCCCAGTCCATCTCTGCCTCTTTCCCTCCCCATCCATCTCCGGTTTCCCTTTCTCCTTTGCCCCTCTCTCTTCCTTGAGTCCTTTCCCAAGCAGATATATATATATATATTCTTAGCCCGCTTTGCGCCGGATTGAGAGAAGGAGGATCTGTCCAGACAGACGAATTAAACCCCCCTCGAGTTTGTTTATATGGCGCCCCTCTTCTTGGGAAGGGATAGGACAGGGGCAAGGAAGAGTGGGCCCTTCCTTTGCCCCACTTTGCTTAGCATCCCACTGGAGCCACTGTGTATGCTTTCTCTGTATTTATTTGGGGTCTTGTGGGGGGCTTCACAAGCCAGCCCCACTGTACTGAGCATCCCATCGGAGCCACTGTGTATGCTTTCTCTGTATTTATGAGGGGTCTTTGGGGGCTTCACAAGCCAGCCCCACTTGGCTGAGCATCCCTTTGAAGCCACTGTGTATGCCTTCTCTGTATTTATGTGGGGTCTTGTGGGGGGCTTCAAAAACCAGCCCCACTTTGCTGAGCATCCCTTTGGCACAGTGTATGCCTTCTCTGTATTTATATGGGGTTTTGTGGGGGCTTCACAAAGCAGCCCTACTTTACTGAGCATCCCTTTGGAGCCAATGTGTATGCCTTCTCTGTATTGATTTGGGATCTTTAGGGTCTTCACAAACCAGCCCCACTTTGCTGAGCATCCCTTTGGAGCCACGGTGTGGGCCTTCTGTATATTTATGTGGGGTTTTTGGGGGCTTCACAAAGCAGCCCCACTTTACTGAGCATCCCTTTGGAGCCACGGTGTGGGCCTTCTGTATATTTATGTGGGGTTTTGGGGGGCTTCACAAAGCAGCCCCACTTTGCTGAGCATCCCATTGAGCCACTGTGTATGCCTTCTCTGTATTTATGTGGGGTCTTGTGGGGGGCTTCACAAACCAGCCCCACTTGGCTGAGCATCCCTTTGGAGCCACTGTGTGGGCCTTCTCTGTATTTATGTGGGGTCTTGTGGGGGCTTCACAAAGCAGCCCCACTTTGCTGAGCATCCCTTTAGAGCCACTGAGTATGCCTTCTCTGAATTTATGTCTTATGTGGGGTCTTGTGGGGGCTTCACAAACCAGCCCCACTTTGCTGAGCATCCCTTTGGAGCCACTGTGTATGCCTTCTCTATATTTATGTGGGGTCTTTGGGAGCTTCACAAGCCAGCCCCACTTTGCTGAGCATCCCTTTGGAGCCAGTGTGTGTGCCTTCTCTGTATTGTCTTCTTTGCAGCCCGAGCTCTTTCTCTTCTTCTTCCCTTGCCATGGAAATTAGGGAGGAAAAGATGCAATGGGTAGAACTATTATGGACGAAAGGGTCCTTTAAACTACTATCTCTCTCCCTCTCCTTCTAGGTTCTCTGCTTTCCCTTTTGGCTGCTCCCCAAATGGATCTCCAGCCCTAATTCTAGCTCTTCTTTCCTCTCCTCCTCCTCCTCCCACCCTTTTCCTCCCAAATCGTGATGCCTCCCAACTGCAGTGCCTGGGTTTGGTTATTATGTCACTGCCAAGAGGCACCACGTTTCAGTGCAGTCATCCTCCTCCTCTCCTTCTTCTTCTTCCTCCTCCTCCTCCTCCTCTTCTTCTTCCTCCTCTTCCTCATTCTCCTTTTCCTCCTCCTCCTCTTCCTCCTCCTCCTCTTCTTCTTTCTCCTCTTCCTCCCTCCTCTCCTCCTCCTCCCTTCCTCCTCCTCCTCCTCCTCCTCCTCCTCCCCCCTTCTCTCTTCTCTTTTCTTCTTCCTCCTCCTTCCTCCTCCTCCTTTCTTCCTCCTCCTCCTCCTCGTTTTCTTCTTCCTCCTCCTCTCTCTTCCTCCTCTTCTTCCTCCTCCTCCTCCTCCTCCTCCAGGCAAATGAGGGATAGATGCCCCAAAACCCTGCTTTTGTGCTGTTACCTCAAGAGTCTGGGATCTTTGGCTCAGTTGCTCTGTTCGCCTCCTTTCCTCAACCGGGTCCAAAGAGCACCCAAGCTACCTTTGTCACCACTTCGGCTGCAACGATTTACCTTTGCTTTTTGGAAGAGAGAAGGGATGGGTTGCACAACTGCTGTGTCAGGGCTAAAGGTGGTCACAAACAGAGGCTTACCATAAATACCCATGTATATGTCGGCCTCTTGTATAATAAGTTGAGGGGGCCAAAATTACAGGATTTGATAAATTTTTCGTGTTGTGAATGACTTGAGAAACTGCAAGTCGCTTCTGGTGTAAGATAATTGGCCGTCTGCAATAGTTGCTCATGGGATGCCTGGGTGTTTTACCATCCTGTGGGAGGCTTTTCTCATGTCCCTGTACAGGAAGCTGGAGCTGACAGATGGGAGCTCACCCCACTCCCTGGATGCAAATCGCTGACCTGTCGGTCATCAGTCCTGCTGGCACAAGGGTTTAACCCATTGCACCACCAGGAGTTCTCTGCAATCACAAGTGACAATATTAAAAATAAGAGAAGGAAACATTTGAACCCCTTCCACACAGCCAGGTAACCCAGAATATCAAGGGAGATAATCCACAATATGTGCTTTAAACTGGATTATCTAAGCCCACACTGCCATATAATCCAGTTCAATGTGGATTTTATACAGCTGTGTAGAAGGAGCCTCTGTTTTACCATCCTGTGGGAGGTTTCTCTCATGTCCCTGCATGGAAAGCTGGAGCTGACAGATGGGAGCTCACCCCACTCCCCAGATGCAAATCGCTGACCTGTCAGTCATCAGTCCTGCCGGTGCAAGGGTCTAAACCATTGCACCACCAGAGGCTCTTTGGTTTTGATATGATCTATGGATGAGTTGGGAAGGGGACCTGTCCCATCCCCCCCCCCCCAATTTCCCTTTTTCAGCCAAGCAAAAAGGCCAGAAGTGGCATCACTGCAGAGAAAGGAGAGGTGTTTCATTCTTTTTTTGGGTTCTCTCGGGACAGACTTTGGCCCCATCTACACTGGCATCATAATCGAGATTGAACGGGGTTACATGACAGTGTAGACACTAATCTAGTTCAATGTGCATTATAAGACTCTACAATGACCATATAATACAGTTCGATATGCAATACATGGCAGTGTAGTTGAGGCCTTCACCTTTGCCTTATTTAGGTAAGGGGACGGTTCCTTTCTTTAATGGTAAGAGTTAGGGTGCAATACTCAGACCGACCCACAAAAAAAAGCCAATGCATGTTGTCGAAGGCTTTCATGATCAGGATCACTGGGTTGCTGTGAGTTTCCTGGGCTGTATGGTCATGTTCTAGAAGCATTCTCTCCTGACATTTTGCCCACATCTATAGCAGCTATCCTCAGAGGTTATGAGGTCTGTTGGAAACTAGGAAAGTACAGGGGAATTCCAGACAAGAAACTATCAGGGCCAGCTAACACATCTATACAAAGGATGCCCTGAGGCAGGAAGCAGCCAGGCTTTGAAGCTGCAAGGCTGTTTAATGCTAATCAAGCTGGCCATTTGCAACATTCACACTTGCCTCAAGCAGGCAAGAGTTCTTTTTCCCACTGTGGACATTCCACAAAGATACAAACCCCACTTGCTTAGTTTCTTACAGACCTCACAACCTCTGAGGATGCCTGCCATAGATATGGGCGAAATGTCAGGAGAGAATGCTTCTGGAAAGGGGAAACCATGAAAATGAACAAAATCTGGCTACCAGTATTAAAAAAACTCAAAAATTACAACAGCAAAACAACAGAGAGGAAACAATCAGGTACATCTAATCACCTGTCAACAAAAGATTGCCCCAGGCACTGCCAGGCCATCAAATGCTAATCAAGGTGGTCAGTTGAAACATTCACACCTAGCTCCAGCAGACAAGAGTTCTTTGTCCCACCCTGGTCATTTCACAGATATATAAACCCTTTTTCCTAGTTCCAACAGACCTCACTACCTCTGAGGATGCTTGCCATAGATGCAGGCGAAACGTCAGGAGAGAATGCCTCTAGATCATGGCCATATAGCCCAAAAAAACCTACAACAACCCAGTGATTCCGGCCATGAAAACCTTCGACAATACTTCTGGAACATGGCCATACAGCCCGGAAAACTCACACAACCCAGCAACACATGTTTCTTGGGTCAATTTTTTTGACTCAAATTTGTAGATGTGTACATGAGCCATACAGGGTAATATTTCAACATGTGTCTGGGTTTGATTGTCTGCTCTGCTGGCCCTCTCAGAATAATGTAGACCGAATCTAGCCTTTGATGAAATTGTACCCCTTTAGGCAGTGATTGTGTAACATTTCGGGGTTTTTTTCTACAATGCCTAAAAGCTTTAGAATAAGATTGTATCAAAACAAACAAACAGAAAAAGGAGGCCTTTATATAACACAGATAACAACGTGCCTTGCAAACTGCAGATGCATTTGTAACACTGGGTGAACCTCCAGCTGTAATGCATCCTCACCCTATTACTCATACCGAGTTAATTGCTCTGCTGGGCACCTGAAAAAAGTTCAGAGGCACAACACTGCACACAGACCTACAGATCTCAGATATTCTAGAAAGGAAATATGCTATGGAGGCATCACTTAAGGAAAACCCTACTTTTAAGAGGAAGAGACTATGTGTAATCTTAGAATCCAGAGGAATCAATAGCCTCGAGTCCTGATCATTATTGTGCATTAGCTGCCAATTTCACAAAACCCTAGATCAGGCATGGGGAAACTTTCTAACATGGGGGCTGCATGGTGAGCCAGAGAAGGGGGGGTGGGCCAGAAGGGAGGGGGTTCTCCTCAAGTTCCCTCCCTGCCATTTTCTCCTCTTTTGCTTCTCTTTCAGTGACAGAAAGTGAAGGAAAGATGGGAAATATTTGGATCCCAAAAAGGGTTCGCCTTGGTCAGGATGAGATGGTGGACGGGAGAGAAAAAGTCTGCCCATTAGACTCTGCTTTGCCTACTCCTGATATGGAATCCTA